GCTGTAGAGCCCCAGCGGACCTGGACCGTGACCGTCACCGACCGAGCGGCGCAATTCGACTCCTCGGTCCGACTCCTGGGTCCAACGGGGTCGAAGTTGTGACGTTGGAAGGATCGGTTCGGACGAACAAAACAGATCACCGGTCTAGGACCGGGCATCTTCACCGGTCAGTTGGGTTGGTTTCGGGATTGAGGAGGACTGAGGATTGAAGCAAATATAGTATACATGGAGTGTCCGGGATAGAACCCGTGTCGGTTACTGAAAAGAGCCCCAAGCTCCAAGCAATGGCGATGTTAGGTCTTCCCATTGGTCTTGCGGTCTCTCTAATGCTATATACAAACCCATGACACCATGTTTTGGTAGCAAAAGGATGCAAAAGGCCACATGTTGGATGCTTGGTCAGTTGGTGCTCTAAACAAGGGTCACAAAGGTTCTACGATGATCTATTAATATTATATATACACACAGTTTATTGCGTATTACCGTATAGCCAAGCTCATGAAACGTGAGAGCTTCCTGACTGAATGAATTAAAAGAGTATTCAAGCTTCAGAAGATCCGCTCCAAGACCAATGTAGTGGATGTGCTACCCTCCATTCACTCCCCGAAATGCTCGGATGAAGATGAATTGTGTGTGTATGTGCCAGCATGCGCCAGCTGGGGAGATGCGGTACTTCAGGGAGTCTGGACCAGTGGTTCAAGCCATTGTGTCAGACCGAGATGCCCGCCTGTGACGGCATCTACCCGGGCAGAGACATCTGGACCGATGGCTAACACGGTCCAGGTCTCATCTTCGACCTGTGGCCGAGGGGCTGAGCCTCCTAGACCACCTGAGGGTGACCGTAAGGCAATCCGAGCCTCAATCTCAACTGGAGAAGCCAGGCTGACAGTAAGAGAATACGTCTCCACTGGCCACAAACTGTAACCAATCAGTAGATTTGTGGACAACCATGAAATACAAAAGAATTATGTATCAAAATGTATCAAAATATTATCCAAAGAGAGATATATACATTATATAATTTAAATATATATATATATATATTATAAGTGAATCATCAACATGAATCAACGCCACCATTCACTGGATGCTCCACAAAAACTCTTCAATAGCACAATTTCCTTATGGGGAGGATCCCCAGGAAATCCACGGAGGCGAACCGATTGGGTGCAGAACCGGAGAGCGGTTCGAACGGCGCCTCGGTGAGTCCTGGGCACCGCGCTGAGCGCGACCACCGTGATGGTGGAAAGGGATCCACGTGTGAGGCACTGCTTGCAGGGCTAAGAATAATGGAATGGAATGGCAAGATCCTGAAGCTGCCTAAGAGAATCCAACACAAACCTATAGGCCCCAAGAGCCCCGCCTGCTTTTTCTGGACCACGCAGCAACCACTCCGGACTCAACCACTACGGACCACGTTCGACGGTCGACGCCGCGGTCCTTCGTCTTGGACGTCGCTGGTCTGCAGCTTCAGCCGTTGAGCCGAGGACAGGAGCTCCTTCAGCTCGGCCTCGGAGTCCTGGCCGTCGCGCCCAACGGGTCCAGACCGGTCGTGGGTAAAGGAACGAACGGACCATGGGACGGTGGAAGAGACCGTGAGTCGCGACGAGTACCGGTGGAAGAGCACTTCGAATCGTCCGGGAGCCGAGGAGCAGCTTGAGGCACCACGATCATGGATCCATCCTCTTCCCAGGCGGCCAGCTTCGCCTGTGGGGAGGCGAGAACCCTCCTACTTTGAAGGTTCAAAGAAGACCAACAACAGCGAAATGTGTTGGGTTCTTGTCACGGTTTGCTGATGAGTCGCATCACTTTTGACATGAATAATCATCCCTCCATATCCCTCCATAGTCAGGCAAAAGTCTTTGACCAGTCCTTTTATTCCTTGACAATGAACGACGGGGGGAACGTCTGATGGAGCCAATATCCCTTGACTACCAGTTCAACAAAACAACCTACCCTTTGGAAACACAAAACCAACATTTTAAAACACTATATATATAATATAAATATATTATACAGAACGCATCTAAGCATTCCAACACATCTGAAATCCCAAAACGCAAATAACATCAAACGACTAGACTGGACACCTCAAGAAAAACTAAAGAAGAACTCTCTTATACTATCTGATGCAACTATATGTCCCATCCTTTCCAAACCGATGTCTCTCACATCGCTTCCCGCATCGGGTAGGGCGGCCTTGGGGCACTCGACCACTGCGTCATGCACCGCATGGCCCACCTGGTCGAATTCGCATGGACCTACAGAAGGGGTTCGGTTGGTTGGTCGCTCCCGAAAGTGCCAGCTGCAGTTGATCTTTAGGGAGGTGGTGTTTCTTATATAGGTGTTTGATCTTTATAGTCTAATATAGTTACAATATATTACAATTCACAAATCCACATCAATCAATTCAACTTATACCCTGTTTTGGTGCTCAGCAGGATGTCTGGGGTGGAATGATTCTTTGTCTTGAACTCTTGAATTGTATTGGAAACGTTGAAGAAGGTGGACCAACTTGCCATGTGATGGATGACGCCATGACCTCCAACATCCTCCAACCGCTTTGCAAATATGTGCGTAAATAAAGGTCCACTCACAGCCTGCAAAAGCCCTTCCATTCTATTCAAGAAACCCCTACGGCCCATACGTGTCTGGCTTCCTGGACCAAAGCAAATGAGCACTTTCCACGTTGTGGTGGGAGGTTCTTGGGCTTGGCCCCAGCACCACAGCCTGTGCTGCCAACTTTCCAGCGGACATCTGCAGGTCTTTCCGCGCCACCACTGCCAGCTTGCACGCCTTAAGTATGTGTTGAACACATTGCATGCACTTTGCAGGCCAAACATGCTGGCTTCCTTTTTGCAGTGTGTATTGCCAAAGTCTGTTCATGTTGATTCCATGTTCAGGGTGATTAGTCTTTGAACCAAACAAAAAACAATTGCAAAACGGTGCTCATATTATATATAATCCAGAAGCAGGGGTGCAAGTGTGTTTCTCAAATTGGATCGTGTGTTGATGCTCCAACGTTGGCCCAAGAGCCTATAGATAGATAGATAGATAGATAGATAGACAAACAGATAGATAGATAGATAGATCGATGGAATGGATGGATGGATGGATGGATGGATGGATGGATGGATGGATGGATGGATGGATGGATGGATAGATAGATAGATAGATAGAAGTTCTCCCTGACAACCAGGAGAGAAGCCAACGAAGCATCTTCTTCAAGGCCACAAGATCCCAAGGTTCCCAGCCAGCTGCTTGAAGCAATGGCGGCTGTTTGAAGTGCTGGCACCCACCCAACCCAAAAAATAAAAAAAATATATATATATATACACACATATGTTTGTTTGCCCTTGCCAAGAGTCATGTGGGGATGGGTCATGAAAACCTGGAGTTCGGGACCACCCCGGTGGGTTGACCATGTCTCTTCACGTATTATTCTGTTCATGTTCGGTGGGAAAGTGTTCCTCCCCCGGTGCCATGACAGTGCAGCGGCCAGCTGGGTCTCGCCTTTTTGCTCACACGGAGACTGTCTCGGAAGCATATGGACATGTGACATAGGCCCATGTTCATCCATGTTCCAAAATGATCGACCTGCTGCCCTTCCCTCCCTTCCGGTCGCACAGTGCATTGACAAAGTGTCCATCCGCGCAGAGACTAAACGGAAGGATGCCAGCAAAACGCAAGCAGCGCCAAAGGCCAAGGGCATGCAAGGCTGCAGTGCTCACCAAAGAGATTGTATGAGATTGCAATGCATGTTTGAAGGCCCTACTTAGAATTGTATGTATTTTTGGGGGTCACCAAAAGGTAGTTAATACTGTGGATCACTGGATTTGCTCAGTCAGAGTTACCCACAGGCAACAGAGTCATGCTCGAAACAATCAAAGATCGGTGGGACTGTGTGGCACCTAGATGAAACGGTGACTTGTTTTAGAACCGGTGGTTCCCATGGTTGATCCTGAAGACCCATAGGTTCTATGATTGCGCTGTCTGATTGTCACATCTGCACAACTGTCAAGCTGTAATTCCCGTGCTCCCACGCAATTTGATGACATTGCCGGACTCTTGCAATTTCAAATTGTCATGAACATCCTCTCTCTGTAGTAGGTCTTCGTTCGAATCAAACATGCAAGACAACAAGGCCTAAGAATCCCATACAACCTCGGTGTTTACAGTACGTTCTGTGCTGACCAGCTCGAGCGTCCAGTTCCACCACAAAGCCTTGTTGCGCGAGAAACCGCGCTCGCTCTTCGTGTGGGGCAGCTGCACTTGTTTTCATCCTGCTGTCCAGGAGTCTCCGTGCGTCATACTTTGTGACTTGGAAACCACTGTTCAAACCACCTATGTGACTATAGGTGTTATAAAAGGCTCGGTTTCGGCCTGGCCCTTGAGCTCCATACCTGCCTCAAGAAGCAACCATGTGTTTATTCAGCCCTTAAGAAAAAAGCATGATGGTGGGTTCCTTGGATGAACACATGCTTCTAGGGGCGATCAGCGTTTGCACCTAATATATAAATATATATATATACAATTCAGGAACTCTATCTTCAACCCCCTAAGATCCGCCTGGGCTGCAAGGTTGAACAAATGAGTATCGATCCAAATCCTTTTCAAAACATGGTTGAACAAAAAGCTAAGACCCAACATAGCTGTACCTGGAGGGATTCAAACATATGGGATATGGGTCGAAAGGGAGCTGGAGAGTGTGATCCAGATCCATCACTCCTTGTCTCGATGCTGAGAATCATCACAAGGTCTCTCCCAACAGGCAATTCTGAACGGCAGCAAATGAACTCCCAGCATCTTCCAACAAAAGCATTGTGATATTATTGTATTTGCATCTGCATCCACTCTTTTTTCTTCATAGTTCTGGGGCATAGGGGATTCTACATGATTCTACAGTTGGAAGAAAAAGAACCGCAATCCAGTGAGGACCCAAATCTTTTCCGGCTGAAACCGGCCGAGACGGCCGCGACGGGCCACTGGGCCCAGGTCGGCTACGCTTCGATCGCGGCGTCAAGCTTCTCGCCCTGGTGGAGGATGGGATGGGGAGATGCGGAGAGGGAAGACAGTGATCAGCTTCGGAACAAAGGAACACGGTGAACACAAACAAAAAAAGATGAAACACATGACACAACTATACGGGCTCTAGCAATTAGGTAATTGATGGTCTTGAACAGTGCTGGCCAGGTGACACTTAGAGCAGCATGGTCGCGCAGAATCGAAACCCCCACAAATCCCATGACGGAGTCATTAGAGTAATCTGAGTAATCATGAGTAATCTGTGCTGTGCACCGGTCACTGTTCATGGGCTGGGTCCGGATTCACTGGTCACTGATCCCCCACCTTTCGACTCCAACCCGCAAGCTGTTCCCGCCTTGGCCTCTGCCTTCCCCTCAGTCTCAGCTGCCGTCACAGTCGTGAGGTGGAAGAGACCAGCGGCCAGGGCGCCGCCCAAGAGCTCAAAGAGGCCAAAGCAAAGCAGGTTCACTGAGCGGTCCGAGCGTGGAGTTGGGAGGAAGGGGTCAACAGGCGTTCCAATTCAGCAGGACAAGGACCCCATGGTAACTCAACAATTCTTTTAACGCTGAGGAACAAACTACTGTAACTAGTAACCTAGCAGGTAATGTTGCAGGGCTGAGAAGTAAGAAACAGTAAGAACATGTTGGCATGGATCCATTTAACTGGCCCTGATCTGGCTGCTTGATGCTGTGTGCTCATTCTTAGTTTGTCGACTTGGTGGAAATCATTACAGGAAAGCCACGCATCCCTTCACCTTCCTGTCTTTTTTTCTGGCCAAGCGGCTAAAGGGTCCGACGCCCAAGTGTCCAGGGCTCACCACATTGGCGATGTAGATGCCTCACTTCTCTATGCATCTCGATGCATCTCGCTGCTGGTGCAGTTCAAGCAAGTACCCTCCCGCTACCCAACGAAAACCCATCCTCCTCATCCCTCCTGACTGAAGTTTGTAAGGAACTCCTTAGGAGTCTTCTCAAGGTTTCCAGATGTTGCCAGCCTCCTTGAAACATCCCTGCTACCCCAGGGGGTGGGGGGGGTCGGACCCCCAACAGAAAATGGATTATCCATTTTTGACCCTGATGATGCATTAGCAACGGTCTAGATCCAGTGATATTCAGTGTTGTCCATAGCACTGTTTTGCAGTTTCTGGATCATATTTTGCATCGTTTGGGTTGTGTTTTTGATTTTTTGGCGTCATCTTTTTGGTCTCTTTTGGGCTGCGTCCTGTTTCTGGTCGAGAACAAAAAAAGCATTCCTAAAGAATCGTTTCGGGCACAAAAAAAAGCTAGAAGCTATAGTGTCCAAATCCCCCAATATCGTGTCCAAATCCCCCTAGGGGGTGGACCTGCGTTGCGCGAAAAAAGAAAATAATCCGTAACTCGGAGGTTTCGACTCATTTGTGTGGTTTAATACTTTTTTGACTAGTCTTGAATGGCGCTGTGAACTTTGCTGGCGCGATGTGTGATGATATGTTTATTTTTTCTAGGGTGTCTTCCTGCTTTGATCACTACTCAGGCGATCAAAACCCGTTTCACAGGCGACATAGGCAACCATGCACACACAATTCTCCGGGCAGGCTGAGACGGGCGAAACATAGGTAAATCCCCCAGCAAACTTGGGCAAAACACCCCAAATAATAGGTAAATCCCTAGTGCAAGGGGTGTTCGACTATGCGACTCCACTACACTCGACGATTTCACCACAGAACCATAGCCACATGCCTGACTTTTTCACTTTAGTCCGGGGGTTGCGCCATGAATTGGCATGGATGGATCATTTGTCGGCGAGGCAGACGAGCAGAGAAGCACATTGTTTAACTTGACGATGTTTTCTGGCGTATCCAGAAGAAATGCATTTAGAATTGAATGTGCTTCCGTTCAGTCGAAAGAGGCCCTGTGGCTTCGGTTGCGCGATTAGATTTTTTTTTTGTGAGGAAGGCTTGCTTGCACGTGAGCTCAATATGTCGTGCGGTCCTGTACTTTTCGAAGCTGGGACCAAGAAGTCGTGCACAGGAAGATGCCCTCGACCATCGACGATGGTGCCCATGAGATCTCACAGGACTCGGGGCTTCAGCAATGTCCGTGTGTGGGAGTGCCTGGTCGCATCCAATCTCCAGGAGGTTGTGGTGCAGTGAAGCCCTAGGGCACTGGCACCATGTTGCAGGCAGCTGCTTCGAGTTCTGTGTTTTACTTCCAGGCGTAGAGTTATATATATATATATTATATGCGTGTGTATGTTGCATAGCATATAATAAATTGATAGTGAGAATGATAGATAGATGGATATTATACAGATAAACAGAACACCCAACAATCATGTGGAAACCTTGTTTCGGATGAGACGGGCGAAACATAGGTAAATACCCAGCAAACATGGGTAAAAACCCCAAAAACATAGGTAAATTCCTGCGTGGCTGGTTTGGCCAAGCTTTCGACAGAGCATGGCACTGCACGGCTGCAGGCTTGGAGCCTGCTGAACTATTTCTTGCGCTGCTGAAGGCTGGATTGTAAACACTTTCAATACACCAAATTCCTTGAAAAAGGATGGAATTCAAAGGATTGCCTGTCAACTGCTTTGATTGTTGTTCCGCAGAGCCTTAATCTGATTCCCTTGGTCAGGTTCTTCTGGTGACGCCTTGTGAACCGTTTTCTTGCCCACACAGGCTGTGGCAGGCGCAGTCAAAGTTTTGTGCGTTCGCCTGTGCACGCGTGCCAGAACAGTGCACAACACGCAGCCAACCCTGAGCTTGGCGTTAAGGTGGAAAAGCAGGTGGAATCATGTACCTGGCCTAATTTGGCCACAGTCACTTCAAGGTGTTTGCGCTGCAATCATTTGCGCGTGTGATTTTTCCAGGTTTGTTTTTTCTGCATTTTTTGATTCTGCAGTGGCTTCTTGGCCCCTGGAGATGCCATGGACTAAGTACAAACCATGGCGCCACGCGGCGCGCACAGATGGTGCCTCAAGCAGTGCCCTGCTTTGCTGTTTGCTGTGATGGGAAATTTGTGGGTAAGCTGTGGTGCATGTGGCTTTCCTGTCTATCATCACGCAGGCATTTGGCACTGAACGAAGCTGTGTTTCACATACTGACGATATGCCCAGACTTGCTAAATTCATGATTCGCGATCCTGGTTTGAGTGAGCGATACGCTTTGGCTTGGCAAGCCGAGGGTGTGCCAGCTGGAGCCTCACTGATGTATGGGCAATTCCTTAATAGTATTCTTGGTTTTGTGACCTGTGTTTTGAGGTGACCTGGAACTTCGTGCAAGCGCACTGCACTAAGTTTTGGAAGGGCATTGTGACACAGAAAGACCTGGCGCTCAACGTGAAGGCAGGAATCACTTAGAACAATTTAGATGTCTATTTTCAAGCAGTGCAGGTGATTTATGGTGTGGTCACTACAAGTCCACATGACCGAACCGCAGAACATGCAATCAGAGATGGTATCCTTCATTGGGCTGCTTTGGTAGGGCTCACTCCGGCCACCGGGGTGTCCGGTTAGGTGGTGGAGGAATGGGCAGGTAAGATGGCTTACGCTGCAAAAAACCTAGTGGTAGCCTTCAAAAAAGTGTGGAAGGAGTCACCTTTGGCCAGCAAATGCAAAACACTAGATAGCCTGAAGAAGCGTGTCAACGAAGCTGTGGTTTTGTCTAGTGAAGAAGCGCCGATCTCCCCTCCTGCAAATTCTCCTTTGCCTTCACCCTCAGCCACCTTAGCAAGCTCAGTGGAGCTTGTCCAGAAGACCTTCCGAGGGTTCCAAGGCTTGGAAGAGGCTTTGGAAAGTCTTGAGGTTGAGGAAAGTCAGGAAGTTTCTGCGTCGGTTAGTACTGCTACACCCACTTCCAAGCCCAGCTTAAGCCCAAGTCCGGACTCTACCGTTGGAGAAGCCCCCTCTGCTCGGATGGAGATGCCACCGTGGGTTACCCTTCTGTAATTTAAACAATTGTGTATTGATTTTTCAATTTGAGGGTAGGGCGGGCTATGGTGCGCTGAAGCGATGTTTGTTTTTGTTGAGGCTCTGAAGGCTCTGCGAGAGGGTCCGGCCCTTTGCCATTCATGGGGTGGATATGGATGAGGAAAAGGTTGAGGAGCAGGAGGCTGGTGAACCATTGGAGGGTAGCAAGGCTAGTGGAAAGCAAAACGCGAAAAAGACAAAACCAAAACAGAGCAAGGCTTCAAAGAAAAAACAAGTGAAAGTATCTCCAGCTGAAGTGGCTCAGATTGAAAAGGACGTTGAGGCAATGGTCCGTGGAGAGATTGGGGAAGTCGCATACTCCCCAACAACATTCACGAAGGCCAAAAGATCCTTCACCAGTGCGGTCCGTGAGAGATCTGGGCTCAGTGGGAAGGAATGCAGTGACCTGTGGATGCTCAGTGCTCTCCGCGCTGACCTGCTTTCAACGCTGACTGAGCCCGAGTTGAAGAAGCGTCGGTTCATCATGTGAAATGGCTTTCAATCTGTATTTTGGGTTTTCTGTAGCAACTGTGTGGTCTTCATAGGTCCATGAGGAAACATTTTTCTGGAAGTTTAAGACAACCGGTACCCTTCCTGTTTTGCCTGCACAGTTGTGTGGCTGTGGGAAAACCTGCAGCGTTAGATCTCGGGGTTTTCACCCAAACTTGGGTGGGCGTTGGGGTGAGTCGTGGAGCGGTTGGAAAACATTCCCAAGGAGTGTTGCGCACTGAATGTGGTGAAGCTGTGCTGTGCAAGTGGGAACACAGTTGCAGGCTTGCTGAGTTTTTTTGTGGGCCATCAGCTTTTTGGACAGGTTTCTCAATTTAGGCCATGGTAGTTGCAGAGATGCGTAGCTGGGGGCTCCCCCCGGCTTTGATTCTAGTTCTTCTTCTTCTCGTGCACAATGAGAAATTTTGCGACGCTCCGGAGGAGATTAGCTTGCGTGATGTTCAAAACCTGCAGTTGCTATTTTGGGCGGGCTGCAGGATAGAGATTTTCTTGAACTATTCAGTGGCGTTGGAAGAGTCAGTGAATCGCTTCGGACTGCAGGGGTCCCTATGTCGTGAGGTGTGTCTTTGTGTGCTTGACCTTTTTCTCAAAAACTCAATTTTTTGAGGCTGGCTTCAAAGGCACATCCTTTGATAAAGAAGTGAGTCCAACTTTGGATATCACAACTTCTGGTGGCTTCTTGTGTGGCCCTTGGAAGTCGTATGCTCTGACTCCTTGTTTCTTTTTTTGCTTTGGTTCAGGTCTGTGTTGCAGGAAGTTCGCCGTATACGAGCTGGAGGCTTGCTGATGATTGGGCTTCCTTGTGGGAGCTACTGCAACCCGTGCATGGACAGCGTTTTAACTGTAGTTTGAATGGCTCAAATGCAGTAAACTGTTCATTTTCATTGGGCTTGCAAAGACCCAGGAACATGGGCACCCATCAGCGGAGCATTCTATTTCCACTTGGAAATCACGGATACCCTTCGGTTGCCTTTGGCAATCTTGCGTGTTGCAGAACAGTCTTGGTTATTTGCCTTGCCCTTTGCAGAGGCTTGCGAGTCTTGCTTGAACAACCGCAAGGCTCTAAGGCTGAGATGCACCCTCGTCTAGCGTGGCTGTTCAACAGCTTCAAGGCGTGGAAAAAACAAGACACTTTCAACTTATGTATGCTTCTGTGCAGGTTTGGCGCACCACGATCCTGCATGGTGTTTTCTCCTTGGAGAGTCCCAAACCGCAGTGGTTATACTCGAACGATGAAACACTTCTGACCCGGCTGCATCTTGCGGCTGGTAGCTTGCCAGCTGCGACCAGGGCCAAGATGTCTACAAACGAACCACTTGTGAAACGAGTCAAGAAAGATGATGGTACAACCAGTTGGACTGGGGACAAAAACAATCTGA